ATTTGACTTTTTATATATTTACCTTATATATTTTTATTATAATATCAACAAAAACATACTTTTAATATTAAACTTTTTAATTCTATTTATTTTCGAGTTTGTCTCACTGTTTCGTACAACACCCCCTACTTCACCCCCTTTCAATTTACTCCTTAATCGCTTTAGCAAGCACCGAAAAACGTTCACTTCACGCTTTTGCGCACGTTGCTCCTCCAAAATAGCACGGCAGGCAGTAGCAGTAAGAAAAGACAGAAACAACAACAAACAACTACGGCAATAACAACTATACTTCACTCCATATTCGACACTCGTGTCATTGTTTTTCTTATTGTTGTTGCATTTAGCAGTTTTATATTCACATATCTACATACTCACGTATATTTGTATGTTTGTATTCTGTGTTTGTATTCTGTGTTTATTTTCTTTTTATGTTTTGGTTTTTGTGTGCGGCCGCTTCACGCGAAGTATAGGCAAACAAAACGAACTCAAAGGCAGGCAGTCAAGCGGACAAGTACGAGGTAGACCAGACCTGACTGATAGACAGTAGCATAGTCAGCATCTGAAAACCGGTTCCCCTCGTGTTCTGCTTAACGTTTTTTTTAATATTTCTGTTGTTATTCACACTCGTTATTTTGCTCTTGTTGTTAAATACAMCAAATGGACGGACAAATATTTGGATGGCTGGATACCTACATATGTTTGTTGTAGGTACATATGAAATGGTTTGGCCAAGTGACTGACAAGCGGGAAGCTGCTCGTGAGTTCGATTTGTTGGTATGTTGTAGTAGGATGTGTATATGTACTATATGTTTGTGTGTAGGATAAACATCTACCCTACTTGATCAGATCTTTTCTCGAGGTAACCGAATAGGTTTTAGGACTGCTGCTGCGCTACCCGCTGTCGATTGTTATAATTGTATTTTTTTGGTAGTACATAGTTAGGCATGCGTATGTGAGTGTAAAGATGTGTCTTTTTTTGCCATTGCGTGCGTTTGCACAAAATCATCGCCAGGGGAATTGCCAAGAGAAAATAATATATTGAGCAGTTGAATGCGAAAAAAGTGCAAGCATGAGAGGAACATGTAATTAGGCTTTAGAATGGTGTAGGTTGTTCCGTAAGTRTCAGCGATGTAAAGATGGTCTTATGCTCAAAAATCGTCTTTGATTGGAAATCGATCCTACCAGTCAGGTACCAGTTACCTTCCTTCGATTTGAAAGGGATTAAATAATTTCAAGTTAACTTTACCTTTAGGGTTTCAATATCCAGGTAACTAGCCTTTTGTTTTGATATAGGAATTTAATTTTATTTCTAGTTTATATTCAAATATACCTTATTATTATTGCTTACTTTTATAAAAGTTATTACAAAGCGAAACGATACTTTTCTTTAGACTGTAAATTATTGTCACACTAAGAACAGTTTGTAACCAAAATAGATCACATTTATGATCACGTGATTGATAATCATATTAATTTATTAAAGCTCTTTAAATAGTAAACACTACAATCGCGGAGGAAATTTTTTAGACCGGACCACTKTATATACAATCTGACCGATCAAAATTATTCAGTSTTTGTATGGAAATTTTTGTCGAAGGGTTAATGAAGTTTGATCTTTTTTGGCGCATATTTTCGCTGCGAAGCTATTTCCGTTATTTGATTTTATCCTTTCGGTCGTCTTCTTTCTTTCATGGAAGTTTGCTCTTACGTTTGAACCTCAGCTTACTTTGAGTCTTTTGTATTGCTTCTTTGAATATGCTTTGGCGCTTTAATTAYACCACTTGCTTTGACGGTAATTAATTGCCTTAATTAATCTTTTTCTCTACAGTTCGAACGATTTCTTTAGMTGCGGCTTGATATGTCTTTGATTGGCTTCTACTGATATTCTTGACGTGAAATACTAATTCGCTATAACGTTTCTTTAATTTCAGATTAAAACTGGAGTGCGAAAAACTTGCCAATGAAAAAACAGAAATGCAGCGCCATTATGTTATGGTAATTTTCTATCTATATATATTTCTTTTTTTATTAATTTTAATATTTTTTGCAACTCTTATTTCAGTACTACGAAATGTCATATGGCCTTAATGTTGAAATGCACAAACAGGTAATTTCCTTTTATACAAATACGACTGAAAAATTAAGTATTGATTACAACAACAAATACGCACAACTCATTCAATAAGCATGTCTCTCACCACTAACAAATACAGTTGCCAAAGTCGGCATAGCGAACGAGTTGTCGATTGTATCAGGCAACACGAGTGCCTGAATGGTGCACTCCTGTCGGCGCCTGAAATTATACACACAACTACACWCATATTTTTTTTAGTTGCAAACGCCTCTACTCACACACCTTGACACATAAACATACATACGATGWATTTTGCTCGTTTTTCGTCTGACAATTTGTTCTAATTCTTTTACTATTTACTTTCTTTACATTGTGCGCTTCCGCTTGAACAAAAAAACACTAAAACCAAAACAAATATATCAACTGCRACATACACTGCTTCATCAACGAACGTGATGTGTTTGCGCAACCATGCTCTGCTCTTCATCTTTTCTTATGCTTGCGTGTGCAGACGGAAATCGCCAAACGTTTAAATACCTTGATAAATCAGCTGCTACCATTTCTACAAGCCGATCATCAGCAGCAGGTCTTAAATGCAGTGGAGCGCGCGAAACAAGTTACGATGCAGGAATTAAATCTGATCATCGGGGTAAGTTTTTTATTTAAACTAATTTCCTTAACTATTGTGCAATAAAACATATCATCGCTTATTCATTTCGACAGTTACTACTACAACAATTAATAAGTATTCTGCAATAATGTGCATAAATTCTTTTTCGTTTTTCTTTTTTTTTTTTTTTGCTAGAGTAAATATTCACACATACACACACAGTTCTGCTTACACAAAAAAAGCATATTTGATGTTTCCAAACAGACAATGTGTAATAGCAGATATTTATTTTGATTTTAATCCTTTAGTTTCTATGGCAGCTAAATGCTATAGTGGTTCGATCTGTGAAATTTAATCGGATATAACAGCGGAAGATTATTAAGATTAATCTTAGCACTAACTTAATATTAATTTTAGCACTGCTTGGGCAATAATCCATGCGAAATTTCTTGATATCTAGTTTTYCTTACAGTAACTTAATTTAGATAGTTCAGTTCGCATGGCAGCTATAGTGGTTCAATCTTAACAATTTTTTCGGATATTGTACCTTTGCCTTGACAAATAATCCTCAACAATTGAGGGACTAGTTTTCGTATATACATATAAACGGGCGGGCTCGGCTCGTCAAACTTATCATTTATAACTATATACATAATATTATAAGGTATCSGCTGTTTCCTTCTTCCAGTTCTGGGCATACATATCTGACTTTATAGCGGCATAAAACATTTCCTAATTACATTTTGAAAATACTGCCGTGTTCACAATCCTTGGCCRGATAAAAAAGTGCCGCTTGTGTATAACCTATAAAATAATAACGAAATTTTATCATAGCCTAGCAGACGTACATCATTTGTACTTAAGCTACTATGTCTCAGTCAAAGATCTCTGTTAGGTAATAGTTTTAAGATATCAAGCTTTCTTTTTCATCTTTATTGTTGGTATAAGTAATTTGTTGTTGTATGTATGTACATATAAATGCAAAGAGTTAAAATAATAAAATTAATTGGTKTGACAGCTGATGATATTCTTTTGTAACTTTTTTAAAATTTTATTTTTATTGATATTATCTTTTTCATAATATGCCGCCAGCAAGTTAAAATATGTGAATGTGTATGTATATATGTACATATTTTAAAAGGCAGCGTATAGAATTGATTTAATTTCTTCTATGTATATTCCCTATAAATTTAGCTAGTTTTTGCAATAAAACAAAATAAAATAATGTATTATATATACATATATATTTTTTTATTATCTTTAACAAAGTAATTGTTTAGATTTCATTCAGCATTTACTATATATATAAAAAATTCTGCCTATGCATATGATAGAAATTTGTTGCGAATTTCTCAGTTATTTGTGTTGACACTTTGACACTTTGATTAATAATCATATTCTAATACTTTAATTTCTTTTTTCATTTTATTTTATGCTCACTTTCATTCAAAAAAAAAAAAAAAAATGCAACAAAAAATCGTTTAATAAAACAAATGTATACCCTTCACACACACATCAAATTTCTTGATGTTGCAACGCGCAGCATCAGCATCAGGGAATTCAACAACTTCTAGTAAGTTCCTTTTCCACTTTCTCAATACGTTTATTACTGCTATTTCTCTACCACTAGTTTTATACTTCTAACGCTCAGTTATGTACTTGTTTCGCTTACTTTATTCTAATTTTTTTTGTCTAACAATTACAAGTTTATCAATAAATTAAATATACATACACATACTACATACAAGCATAAGCGCAAGAATACTTGTTTGTTGAGAGCATTTTTATAAAACAATAATATTTCATATGCATAACGGTTAAAATTTGTCGGTTGTGTGCATTCTGTGCCTGTTGGCTTTCATTTATTTCAAATTGAAAATATTAATATATAAAATAATATACACATACAATAAAATAAGAGAAAAACTTGCCCATGTTCCGTGCAAAATTCAATTAATTATGGTTTGCTTATTGTTAAAATGCATTTAAATATTTGTTTCTTATAAAATACTTGTTTTTAATGTGTGTGTGCCTGTTCGCTAGCATATTGTTGCAAGTTGCTCTCAATTCGATTAATACGATTAATAACTGTTTAAAATTTTTTTTTATAAGCATAACTGTAGATTGTACGTTTAATTGCAATATCTACACTTTATAAAGCAAATTTGTGAAATAATTTAATTGAAATTATGCTTCGATTTCACTTCTCAAATTTCGAGGTTGTATTAGTGAGCATTTTGATTAGTTCTAGTGATATAAGGACTGAAGTACAAGAAAATAGTTGAGATACGAACCCTTACAGACTTATACACATATGCTTAAAGTCCACAATTTTTTTTTTTTTTGCATTATTAATAGAAGACGGCAAATAAGCAAATTTCACTCACTTGTAGTAAAATAACTATAAATTTTAAAATTATAGGTTTTCTCAAAGTATTTTTTCATGAAGCTTGTTTTGCGCCTGCCAAGCATAGTTAACCAAAGATCAATAATAACTAAAAATAGTTAAACTACTGTTACTACTTAATTATTACTTGTTAATTATATAATATTTTTTCTCTAATTATTTTTTTCTGAGCTTTGCGACATTTTTACACTTTGTTGCATTTTTTAATCTGTAAAGTGAGCTATTTGATTTGCAATTCTTCATTATTTGCGCTCTAATTTATAATTCTTCACAAAAAAATTTTTTTTAGTATATTCCCCTTCAATATTCAGCTGTCAAATCAATTATTTTAGTACCAGAGTTAAAGGAAGCGAATATATTTGCGCTTTAAATCTTAATTTTGAAGTGAACACGCTATAAAATTTTTTAACAAGTGGTATTTTGTTAAAATTTATTTTATAGATTTTAGTTAAGCGCTATGCGCTTAAACTGTTCCAAAATTACATGCATACAACAATTATATTATTACATTTAAGTTTTAATTAGCTTATTAACTTAAATAGAATTTAGTTAATTTATTTTTTATTTGTTATAACATTCAAACCGTTTTTTAGTTTTTTATTTAATTTTAATTCATGGAAATCTAAAAAACCTAAAAAAATAAAAATGTTTGGTTTTAAATTTTTATTAACATATTAGAATTGTAACAAATATATACAAATATTATCCAAAATATATTAATGATAAAACAATATAATGCTGTAGATAAAATAATAAACTTTCGTTTCCTCATATTTTTTATTTTAATATATATTGGGAATATCGAAATATTATTTGTTTTTTTATTCCAATTATAATATGTTAATAGTATTTAAAAATTGAAATTTTTCGATCATTACAATTTATTTTAAAATATAATATAAATTTAAGAAAAGAAAGTTCATTGTTCATTCTATTTTGAATTATTGATTTCACTTTTTTCAATTAATATTTTTTACTCATATCTTGTCTATAATTCGTTCAGCTGTTTATTATTACCCGTTTGTTTTAAACATTTTCTGCGCAAATTTGCTCAGGTTAGGTTAGTTTCATTGTAAATTAGAGCTTGTGATTGCTTTGCAAATAATTTTAAGTTTATAAACATTATTGCTTTCAAAGACAAACATTTCACCRTTTCCTACGAAATAATCTTATTAAAATATCATGAAAATTTGAAAATAATTTAATTCGTCACTCTTGTTCAGACCCTGGCTTTCCTGTTTGTTGACTTTGTGAATGTGCGTTTTGCTAACAGATTTTAATGAATTTATTTCAATTTCCAACTATTCTATGCTTAACCTAAATAAATAAACTATTGTTTTAAAAATATCGTAAAAAATAATAAAATTTTGTTGAATAACTAATAACATATGCCATCCTTTCTTTGTCTCTCTTTCATTTGCATATGCAGCAGCAAATACACGCACAGCAAGTGCCCGGTGGACCACCGCAGCCAATGGCCGGTTTAGCGCCACTAGCTGGCCCATTTGGTGCACTGGGCGCGTCAATGGGTCTACCACATGCACCACAGGGCCTACTTAAGGCACCAACAGATCATCATCGACCCGATATCAAACCAACAGGTCTCGATGGGCCGGCTGGCGCTGAAGAGCGTCTGGTAAGTGTGAAATTCAATAATAAAGTAARAATATAATATTTTTAACAATTGCTCTTATTTATTACATTGCAGCGGAATTCAGTGTCCCCAGCTGATCGTGAGAAGTATCGCACACGTTCACCATTGGATATTGAAAATGATTCGAAGCGTCGAAAAGACGAGAAACTACAAGTGAGTATTTTTCTAACGCAATGAAGAACGAAAGCACGATGTGTTTTAGAAGAAGAACCATCAGTAGTAATTCTACTTTATTTGTATTATTATGTATGAATAAATTAAATTAATCAAAAACCTAGTTATGTTATTATATAGTACAATAATATACATATATCAAAATTCCACTTTACGCATTTTACTTATACTACCTCTACCTCCATCACCAACATCTTCATCAACACTGTCCTGCTCGCCCAGACAAAGTTTGAATTCAAATTTGAATGATAGTATATATAGCTAAAAGCTTTTACTTTGGCTTTGGTTAAATGAGCTATACTTCTATATAGCAACTTATTGATAAAAAAAAAACTTGTGTAATTATTGTTCTTACGTTGGCATTTATTGAAAAATTACATTGTATACCATAATATTGTTAAAAATCATGTATTAAAAAATACTTTGTAGTATATTCATAAATGTAATCGAATATAGATTTACAATATAAATGCTGTACAAAACGAAAAAAAAAAATTCAAAAACTTGTTGCCAAATCTTATTATGGGAAAATTGTAAAACTCAACTCACCATATTTTGTTTCGATAAAACAAACGAAAATAAAAACACAGTTTGGAAAAGCAACTCACTTTAAAAATAAAAGAGAGTAACAGCAGGACGGCGCTGCATCGTGCACGTCAGTTAATTTAGTACCTTTTTAAATTTTCAATTAGTTTTGTTAACCATTAAAAATGTAGTTGAATATARTTTAGCTTGAGCTTTAATTTAATTTCCTGCATAAATAAGTTTTAGTTGGTTTGTAGTAGTGACTTTTATTTTGTAGAGTAGATATCTTAGAATAATCCTCTCTCTCTTTCTCTTACACACTGTCCGCAAATGTGTTTTTTTGTTCGAAAGTAATTTTTTTTTGGCTATACCATATTTTTTTTTCTTTTTTATGTTTATTTTTTGCCCTTCGGGACGTAGTACTTATTTGTTGACAACTGTCATTTGCTTACAAATTACTATATAATTGATTGGTTTTTATAGTAATTTAGCAGTTTCAAATATTTTTTGTTATACGCTCAGTTAACGCTGCTACACATGCTTGAGTTTAAATTATAGTTCCGTAAAAGATTTTGCATTTTATTTACACGGTGTATGGATTGGTACGCGTCAACATGTTTCGTAAATTTTAGGTTACTTTGTTCCTATTGCTAGTTTATCTTTTCTTTTTACGCTTCCATTTTTAAGTTTTTTATTTAATTTTTTTGTTTTGTTTTTTTTTCTTTTGATTTCGTAGCAAATATTTCTTTAGTATTTCATTTTAATTTGGTTTAGTTAAAAAGAATTACAAAAGTTTACAACAACAACAAATAGTTCGTGCGTTGATAATATTTTTTTATTTTTCAAAATTTTTGCAGGACGATGAAGGAGAGAAAAGCGATCAAGATTTAGTCGTAGATGTTGCAAATGAAATGGTGAGTTGAGTTTGTCAATCCCAAAGTACAGCAGAACGTTGCCAGTATTAAGAAAAAAGTATAAATACATTGACATGAACACAGTGTCTTCCCCATTTGCATTGTCCCAAATGTCTCATTATTCACCTTTTATTATTTTATTATTATTATTATTATTATTATTTTTTTTTTTTTATTTTTTTTAGTATTTTAATTACTTTTTCCAAATAACTTATTTATTTCATAAAACTTAGTATTAGATTATTTTATATTAACGTTTATTTTTGTTTCGTCACAGGAATCCCACTCGCCACGTCCGAACGGCGAACACATGTCGATGGAAGCGCGTGATCGTGAAAGTCTGAACGGTGAACGTCTTGATAAACCGGGCAGCAGCGGTGTCAAACCGCCTAATGAACGACCTCCATCACGTTCCGGCTCCAGCTCGTCGCGCTCAACTCCCAGCCTAAAAACTAAAGATGTAAGTAAATAGGGTTAGTTTGATTGAACTTTTCGCTATTTTCAATATTGTATTTTTATTTTAGTATTTTACATATCCATACCATTTTTTTAAATTTCTATTATACAAATATTTGTTTAAAATATTTTAAAATTTT